AAATACAACATATCTTTTCCTCTTTAGACTTCAAATAAGTATCGATACTGAACTGAGGAAGAGGATTAAATACAATTTCACTGTCAGTTTCTTTACAAAATTAAGCGTTATCAATTACGATAAGTCACAGCGAGCCACCGACTCTATACGGCCTCATGTTACCTTATATATTAACAATAACAATGACTATAAAGATTTAAAATAAGGGAAGAAGAGGGCACTGGTATTTGTTGAGTACTGTATATCTGCAGATTTGAAGTGTCAGAATCAATATTTGGGAGGGAGGAAGATGGGCTGGTGCATGTGACCACTATCCCCTCTGGACATCACAGTCAACACTAAAAGATTACTGGCGCCATTAAAAAAAAACAGTATCATTAAAAATAGCTCTCCGTGGAGGGGTGGGAGAGACCAACTGGAGACAGAGAGGGGAAATCGGAACACGCCATCCTGTCGCTCACAACCGTCCGTCAGCCTCACACAGCTACAAACAAATTAAAAACTTCCTGTTACCAGTGTGCAATTCAGATGTTTTTCTTCACGTTTGAATTGAAATGTTACAGTCCAGTCCACAGCCACAAGATGACTTGAACCGGACAGCCAAACCTCACCTGCATTCAGCTGGTAGGTTCCTACCCTCCGACACTGAATAACTCTTTACTGTTATTGTAATACAGAAGGTGTTGCCACAATCCAGGAAGTAAAGCGCGTGAGACAGAGCGAGCGAGAGACAGAGCGAGCGAGAGACAGAGCGAGCGAGAGACAGAGCGAGCGAGAGACAGAGCGAGAGAGAGTGAGAGAGAGAGAGAGTGAGAGAGAGAGACAGAGCGAGAGACAGAGCGAGAGACAGAGCGAGAGACAGACAGAGAGAGAGAGAGCAAGAGACAGAAAAATAAAAATTTAGAGAGAAAGAAAGGTACTCGTGGGAAAAAAAAAAGCTCAGCCCGGTAAATCTGATTACCCTGGTCCGACCTGACAACCTCATACCCTACTTTTACAAACAAACAATAACATAACAATTTTAAGGAGTCGAGTTTTTGTGACCCAATAAAAAAAACCTGCGAGGGGTGAGTCATGAGGAGCAACGAGGCCTCAGATGAATCACGGTGACGATGATGTGTGATCGTGTGGCGACGAACGAGAAGACGTTTTAATTGGTGTAAGCAGCTTTTGATTTCTTGTCGCTCCGCTCAGCATTCAGAAGAGCAGCTGAGCACAGACTTCACTTTACAATCTTCACGGCACCTTGTGCATATTAAGGAGACGGACCTGGAGGGGTCAGGCCAGGTAAAAGAGGAGCTAGGACGGGTAAAAGAGGAGCTAGGACGGGTAAAAGAGGAACTAGGACAGGTAAAAGATGAGCTAGGACGGGTGAAAGAGGAGCTAGGACGGGTGAAAGAGGAGCTAGGACGGGTGAAAGAGGAGCTAGGACGGGTAGAAGAGGAGCTAGGACAGGTAGAAGAGGAGCTAGGACAGCTTGATCGTGGCCAACTTGACTTGCTTTCACTGCATGTTTTGCGCACACACACACACACACACACACACACACACACACACACTATCAACAAGCACATCATTTCGCAATGTTTACATATTGCTGATTTGACAATAGCGCTGCCCTAGAGGCCCAACACTAATGCAGACTGATGCATGCCAGTGTGAGAAAAGCATCCGTCTAACTAAACTCGGCATGTGTGAGTGAGCCATCGAGGAAGAGCAGGTCAGCTGCAACATGTGCTCCGTGTACACATCACTGAGTATTTAATACTCCTAATATGCTCCACAAATTCTTACAGTTTAAACACTATTTGTTATCAAAATAAACAGACTCTGCTATTAAGTCCCGATTGAAAACTGGCAAAGTTTCTATTCAAACACCAACTCAATGTAATTTCTATGCAGGTAGACGACCGTAAGCAAAAAGGAACAAGTCTGCATCTGCTGTAGGATGATCATTTTACATATTTAGCGATAAGACAGATGTTCTTTGCTTATGTAAAGTGCCAACAAACACCCACCGTGTGGCCTGTACAAACACACACAGACCATCCGACTCAAACAGGTTGATTCTGAGAGGATAAGATGTGTCTGTACATGTACAATTAAGCCTCATAGCTCAATATAAACACAGAAATGAAAGGTTTCCCTGCATTTTAAGTGTTATTGTAGAAAGAATTGCACATACAGGTGTAGTATCATATATATTACGACTATTTGACTGTAAAATAATGTGAAACTTTTCCCTCTTGTGATGTGTCGGTTAACGCAAGTCATCCAATAAATATAATAAGTGCTTATGTTTCTTTTAATTCTCTAAAACAAGGAAGGCATGTCTGAAAAGTTCCACTTTGTTTGTGCCAGTGTTTGAACTAAGCCTCTTCCACTATTGTACATCTTTATCAACCAACACTACTGGGAATATATCAGAACTATACACACAAGTTCAGAATATATTATTGACAACTTTTATGTTTTAAAAAGCTCTACAAATACGTTAAAAACATTTGATAAATAGTAGACATTGTCTTCAAAGACAGACAACAACCTCTCCACTTATAAATTACGGATAGTTTTATCATAACTGTAAAAGACTAAAAGCTAGTCAGCAGCAAACAGAGGGAGTCCTAATTGTTCAAGACAAACAAAAATAGAATAAAATAGAAATATCTCCAGGCCTGGAAACGACTGTTTTATACCATGACTTTTTCCTTTGAGTGTGAGAGCTTAAAACAATCACATCTTTCACAAAATGTATATTTATTATACATGTTGGTGTGAAAGCACTGGATATCGACTTGTAGTACATAACAAAAACGTGGTTGCGTTTGAGTAGCACATCTCTGTGGAAAGATGATTTAAAAACAACACATGTAAAGAAGATAAAAACAATATTTGATTATGAGTGTGAGACGTCCACATCTTGTTTACTTTACTATTATTGGCACATCAGCGTTCACACACTAAAAAGTAAAGGATGCAGATTTTAAAGTAACAAAACTGCTATGACAACTATATTTGTGTTCCCTTTTCAAAATCAAGGAGAAATAGTACAATAGTTTCCACCAGCAGAGGGGTCCTAATCATTGAGTCTTATCTAAAAATGTGTGTCCTTTCTTGCTTCCTTCCTTCCTTCATTTCCC